GATCAGAAAATATAGGATTTAATATCTTTAGAGCAAAACTAATCGTTAGCACAATATCCCACAAGGTAAAGATGGAACGATGTACCGCTCGCAGGTCTTAAAATCAGAAGATATTTGTGATAAAGCAGGATTTCCACGGGTCTATTCAGACTCTGAACATGCCATCAAAACGTGATCACAGCAGTGCTGCCACCTGCCATATGAGCCGCCTATAGGAGCATTGGAGAACTAACCTTTTGTCTTTCTTGATTAAAGTGGAGAGTGATCTGGTGTGAACGTTTAAGCACAAAGAGGGTTAACGAGGCAAAAAGCCTTCTTGATATTTTCATCATGAATAGCAGAGATATAGAGAAACACAATAAAAGAAGTTTCACTGAAACCCATAGAGGGCGCACTGAGATATAGCCAAATGAAAATCGCCTAAAATCGCATTCTTGCCATAAAAAGCGCCACCTATGCAAAAGCGCCCTAACTAAGCCACCGCCATTTATGCAAATTTGGAAATAACTAGTCCCAATGTATCCAAATATGCATAAATAAGCAAGGGTTAATGAGGTCGCAGGCCCTGGGAGGGTCTCAAATGTAGTCCAAAATGCAGAAAGTCATGATTTGAAGTGCCACCTATAGGCGGCGCCCTCAGTAACCCTTGAAAATTATAACGCTAAATGGAAGAACTCTACCCATACATTTATATACCCTATGATCAAGGAGGTTCACTGAGGGCGCCACAAAATATTCGAAGGTCAAAGTCCAGATTTTGACTATGTCAATATTTTGGCCATTTTAACCCCTATTTTACCCCTAAAGGACTGTAATTTCCACCCCGAAGGAATCTTCTGATAAAAAAAGTATTTTTTGTCAGTTTGGACAATAAATCTACCCCCACAAAAAACTTCAGTGGCCTACTGGAACACGATATATCACCCCCTTCTATGAGCTGGTCCAAAGTTACAGACTCTGGCTCTTAACACTTAAGTGTGACAAATAAGTCAAAATGGAAGGAACTTGGGAGGGGGCAAATACTTCCTCATGGTACTGAATTGGCTGAATGCTTGAGCAAGAGGTCAGGCAGTCATCACTCTTGAGCAAGGTGGTCCAGTCTAACTTGAAAACAGCCAGTGTAGTGCAGGTTTTTGTTTTATCCTTGTACTATGATGTCAAATTGTTGACTAATTGACTAATTGTAGTTTTCAAGCAAGAACCAATTGAGTTGGCTCAGAAGCTTTAGCTGTACAAAAAAACTTACACCCACGCCAGTGATTTTTTGTAATGCCCATGTACCTGCTGATACATAAACATAGCAGAGCACACCTCTTTCAATGACTGAGGATCTCTTTGAGCTGTTTATTAGAAAAATCATGTGTGTCAAAAATTGAGAACCTATAGGATGGTAGATCTCCCAGATTGAACTTGAACAATCCAATTCTAGAGAATGAGGTAACTGACAAAACCAGCAAGTTTATGTGTTCATTATCTTTGAAATTGCCGGGGAGGGAATAAATTAGGAACAGGGAATATTTCAGGGAGGTGTGGATGCTGCCTTGCACATTAGTGAATCATAAATGAAGATTGTGCCATTTTTAAAAGTAAGGTCAAAACACAAATTAGATAAGCTCAGGGAACCAGAGTAAGAAGAATTTTTAAAATTTCTCTTTGGTATATGGCCAAAATACAAGCTTAATCTCTCCTGTAAGCAATTTGGGAGCAGAAGTTGTCATGATATTTCTCACCATTACATCAATAAAAAATATTTTAGATTAAGGAAATAATGAATTTACATCACCTTTTCCACATCACACTCATATAAAGAATTTTTAAAGCTGAATATTCAGCAACCCAACACTGGTTAATGTCTAATGTGTGTCAAATTTTACTCCTAATTTTGCAGTGCTGAATATCAAAAGAAAATACTGCCTTTGTCAGATCACCACATGCTCTCTCCATTTACAGTCATTAGTGACAGAGACTCAATCGGAGCTGAGTCATTACCTTCAGCATGCATTCAGTCTTAGCACATTTGCTATACAATGCTGGTGAGAATGCCTGATTTGATTACATCCTATGCCTATAGGTATGGCTCAAGCGCGCCTAATCCTTGTGACTATTGCCTGCAATTGAGTCTCCAGGATGGAAATAAGAGACGGTCATGCGATGCTAGATGTTCTGTTGTTATGAATTTGAAAAGTGTACAGCCCATGCAAGACATTACTGGCCAAACGCAAAGCTCACCCAAGAAGCAAATTTAAGCACATGTAATTATCATACCATGGTCCTGCCTTGTGTAATAATCTGTATGCAGAGCTTTTAGAAGTCTCTGACTCTCACAAGTGTAAACTCCTGTTCATTACCTCCTCTCTCATGCGTTTCTGTACCGTTGGAGCTTAGCACTTCATCAGCAAACTCACCCCTTTCCTGGAACCCCGACACCCGGACTGCCGGCCACCAAACTGCGGCTCCCTCTGGCTGGGAGGAATCTGGCCCTCAATGCCACTCTGGCCCACTAAGGGGCTGTCCCCCAGCTGATTTTCAGTCATGAGGTTCCACTGAACTCCCAACCCAGAACCAAAACCAAAAGGTGACCAACCTGGAGGCTTCACTCAAGCGGAATCCAAGCGTGCCCCCCACCCCAGGAGAGACAGGACATCTGAGCTTCTTCAGAGCCCTGGCTCAAAATACAACCATGGCGTCCCCTCCCTCCCTCCCTCCCTCCCTCCCGCCTTATCTGCTGAGGTAATGAGTGGATCTTCAAGTGGACCTTATCTCCTGCGTCACCACCCCCACTCCTCCCCCTCCCAAACCCTGCCAAAGGACCAGCCTCAGGAGAGCAGCTGAGCGTCCTGGGGCAGGATCCAGAGCTTGCGAGCAGACGGCGTGCTCCCCGAAACCTGGAGCCAAGTTACTGGACACAGGGTCTCCCGCATTGCGGATGTCTGTTGTCCTCGAGTGCAGTATAGCCGTGAGAAGAGGAGACATGTAGCACACATCCGTAAGCTGGCATCCAGCATTTCCATTTTTGAATGCATTCCCTTTTGCCAGGTCTCGCACTTTCCCAAATTTGGAAAACCAAACTGCATTTGTTGGTATGCCCAATCATTTAGCAGTTCAGTAGCATCCTCTTGCAGTAAACGCTAGTACTGGCACATTCTGCCACATCTCCAGTTGCACAGTTGAGTTGCACGGTTAATCTGACATTTCTACAAAAAATATCAGTCATTTTGGAAGTAGATATCCAGGAGTGTAGAATTAAATTAATAAGACATTATCACCGCGAGAGAACAACATGAGGCACTTATGAATTTTGAAGCAGTAAAGATGTGTGTTATATTAATTTTTTTAAACACTTTCGAGTTCATGACACAAAATTATTCACAGTATTCCCTGCCCTGTAAGTTTCATGATGATCTAGCTGATGGTAGTCATTCATCTTGCTTCTGCAATCACCTTTTCCTCACAGACTTTATTTTGACATTTGTCCAAGACACAGTATGCAAAATTTGAACTTTATCGGACTTTAAGTGGTAAAGGAGTTTTGACCTTTTGTTTCCAATACAGCACCAGCCTTTGATAAATTTTCACCAAATTTATGAATTGAGGTCATGCCCACAAAATGTATCGGTTTACTGAGGTCACGTTTTTAACAAAGTAACTGTCTTTATACGTTGTTTAAAAACATTGGTCTAAAGATGCTATGACCCAAATTTTGGATAAAATCAGACAAAGCATCTAAGAGATATTCAAGGTTTTACAAAATATTCAAAATGGCAGCAAATCCAAAGACCACGCACTCCTGCCTCTCAGACACAGCCAGATGCAGGAAAAACATTGACACTTGAGAAAAAAGCTGCCAAGATAGTCCTCCTCTTTTTGATTTTGAGGCCTAAGGCAATGCAAATGCCAAAAACACTGAGCCAATAATACTGAGGCATAGAGAACTGAAAGATGAGAGAATTCACCTATTGCGGAAGCATTGTTTTAACAACAGATAGACCTAACCAGGACATTAAAGTGAGTAAAGGAAAAGCCAGAACAGCCTTCACACAGCTCAAGAAAGTGCGGAAAGCCAGGAAAATATCGAGGAGGACTAAGATTTTCAATTCCAACGTGAAAGCAGTTCTTTCCCATGAAGCAAAAACCTGCTGTACGACCATCTCTTCAGACTGGAAAATCCATTTCTTCATAAACAGGTGCCCCTGCAAAATCCTTGAAATCTGGTGGCCCAGCTGCATCAGCAACCAGGAACTTCGGCAGCAGACAAACCAGCTCCCTCTTCCTATGCAGATTTGAAAACTGAGTTGGTCTGGGATTGGGCACACACGAAGGAAAGACCAGATTACATCACCTATCAGGCCCTCCGATGGTAACTGAGAGGCAAACGAAGATCATGGTGCAGATCAGAAGCACAGGAGATGACCAAAGCTGGATATGACTGGCACAAACTGGTTCGCTATGCCCAAACAGAGTCAGATGGAGGTCAATTGCCAGTGGCCTCTGCTCTATCAAGGAGTGACAAAGGCATAAGTAAATAAAGAGCCAATAAATCTGGTAATAAAGGAATTTCCACTCCAACCCAAACGATTCAACAGTAACAGACCAAAATGTGTTTTGGCTTGCTGCAGCGCCAGCATGCGGCCAATTGGGAGGATTTTCTAACCTGAGTATTGGGTGATCATATGAACCTAGCTGCCAAGTTTGGTTGCTCCTGCATTTACAAATATTGCACTGCAAACACCTATTAGGCTGGAAAATAATTTTTTAAAAAATTAATCCATTATCTACACCACTTCTTCCTCACAAGGGTAGTGAGGAAGTGGAAGCCTATCACAGCTGTCTATGAGCGAAAGACAGGGACACACCCTGGACAGTTTTCCAATCCATCAAAGGGCACATATATCATTCATTAACATACTCATACCTGCGGGCAACTTAAAGTCTACATGTCTTTGGATTGTGTGAGGAAACCCAAGTAAACATGGGGAAAACATGCAAACTCCAAACAGAAAAGCATCAGGCTGGAATCCAACCTGCAACCTACCATCTGTGAGTGGCAGTGCTACCTACTGCACCACTGTGCTGTCCCACATAAAATAATAATAAAAATCAAAACAAAAACAATAGTGTTTCAGCATAGGCATGCACAGATAGACTCTAGGTGGTGCTATAGCACCTGCCCTTTGCCCTCTGGACCAAGCAAGTGCCCTTTAGAAAGTTAGTTTTTACCCCTCGGCCGACTTCGACCGGAGGGGTATTGTCGTCACCTGCATGTCTGTCTGTCGTCCGTCGTCTGTCGTCCGTCGTCCGTCCATGACTTTGTCCAGGCCAGTACTCAGCAACTAAAGCTTCACCAAATTTGGTACGGTAACTCACTATGACCCATAGATGTGCAACGTAAGGTTTTTTGCTGGATTTGACCTTTGACCTTAGCGCTGTGACCTTCACCCTGGAAATCTTGTCTGGGTGACTTTGTCCAGGCCAGTACTCAGCAACTAATGATCACAGCTTCACCAAATTTGGTATGGAAACTCACTATGACCCATAGATATGCAACGTCAGGCTTTTTGCTGGATTTGACATTTGACCTTAGCACTGTGACCTTGACCCTGGAAATCTTGTCCGGGTTAGTACTCGGCAATTAACTGTCGCAGCTTCACCAAATTTGGTATGGTAGCTCACTATGACTCATGGATGTGCAACGCAAGGTTTTTTGCTGGATTTGACCTTTGACCTTAGTGCTGTGACCTTGACCCTGGAAATCTTGCCCGGGTGACATTTTCCAGGCCAGTACTCAGCAACTAATTATCACAGCTTCACCAAATTTGGTATGATAACTCACTATGACCCATAGATGTGCAACGTCAGGTTTTTTGCAGGATTTCACCTTTGACCTTAGCTCTGTGATCTTGACCCTTGAAATATTGTCTGGGTCAGTACTCAGCAACTAATTATCACAGCTTCACCAAATTTGATATGGTAACTCACTATGACCCATGGATGTGCAACGTCATGTTTTTTGCTGGATTTGACCTTTGACCTTAGCGCTGTGACCTTGACCCTGGAAATATTGTCCGGGTCAATACTCTGCAACTAATTATCGCAACTTCACCAAATTTGGTATGGTACCTCACTATGACCCATAGATGCGCAATGTCATGTTTTTTGCTGGATTTGACCTTTGACCTTAGCGCTGTGACCTTGACCCCGGAAATCTTGTCCGTTCAGTACTCGGCAACTAATTATCGCAGCTTCACCAAATTTGGTATGGTAATTAATTATGACCCATAGATGTGCAACGTCAGGTTTTTTGCTGTATTTGACCTTTCAACTTCGCTCTGTGACCTTGTCCCTGGAAATCTTGTCCGGGTCAGTACTCGGCAACTACTTATCGCAACTTCACCAAATTTGGTATGGTAACTCACTATGACCCATAGATGTGCAACGTCAGGTTTTTTGCTCGATTTGACCTTTGACCTTTGCTCTGTGACCTTGACCCTGGAAATCTTGTTCGGGTCAGTACTCGGCAACTACTTATCGCAGCTTCACCAAATTTGGTATGGTAACTCACTGTTACAACTTTATATGTGCAACATCATGTTATTTGCTGGATTTCACCTTTCACCTTAGCGCTGTGATCTTGAGGCAGGAAATCTTCTGCGGGTCAGTACTCAGCAACTACTGATCGCGGCTTCACGAAATTTGGTATGTTTACTCACTGTGACACATAGATGTGCAATGTCATGTTTTTTGCTGGATTTCACTTTTCACCTTAGCGCTGTGACCTTGAGGCAGGAAATCTTGTCCGGGCCGAGGGGTATTCAGCAACACGTTATTTTTTTTTTGGTTTGTTTTTGACTACTGTACTGTACTGTATGTGGCCCATGTTGACGCGATCATCGATAAATTCCCGACGACTAAAAGCGTAAAATAAGAAGCAGCAACCCTCCCCTCTCAACAAAATAAGAAGCATCAACACCCCCCCAGATCTGTCACCACACATTGCTTCATCGTCTGTGGGAAACACTGAAGTGCCCTTATTTTTCACTGAGCACCTGCCCCCCAAAATGTGTGTGCACGCCACTGATTCTGCAGCTTCACTGCTTGAACAGCTAAAAATCACAAGAGCTTAAAGGTGATTGAAATTTTTTTAATTCAAGTTTTTTTTAAACTTAAACACTGCGGTACATATCAGAGATTTCAGATGGAAATTAATAAAAGACATATAATGCGTGTAGATTAGGCAGATAAAATATTTATAGGATCCGCAATACCAAGATTTCCGAGGCTCTGAAGCAAATTTTCACAAAATCCAACATCTAAACTCAAATTATTTATTTTTCCACCAGTCCTGACAAATTTTTCATGATTTGTTTAATTACTCATCAGTCAATGCAGTTTTCACACCCATTTCATACAACTTAGATAAAAGAAAAAACATCCTTTACATTATTCAACCCTCTAATGGATTAAAAACTATCAGCTAACTCTAAATATTCCAGTGGTTATCTGTTGGTCCTCTTGTTATTTTCTTGTGGTACAGCAAGTGAAAAAAAAGCAACTACGGCAAAGTCTAGATGAATTATTAGTGAAAGCCCACTCCATTTCAAGTAGTTTTAATTTATTTAGCTTTCGTAATAATACCTAAACAACACTTAGAACATAAAAGTATCATAAAACAATGATATGGTAATTTAAGGTGGTAAAACTCAATGTCTGAAAACTTCTACACTATACGGCCAAAGATATTTGAACACTTGTTCATCCAACATCCCATTCAAAAACTCATGGGCATTAATAAGACTTTTGTCCCTCCTTTGCTGCTATAAATGTCTCATCTCTTCTGAGAAAGCTTTGTTCTACATCAGTGGTCACCAATCCTGTTCCTGGAGCTCTACTGTCTCATAGGTTTTCACAACAAGCAAAATATTGTCACACCTGACTCAATGCAGATTCCAAGATGGATGGTTCAGATTTTCCTTATTTAAATTACCTTGGAGATAACTCCATTCCTTTTACAAAACACATTTAACAGATATCGTAAAGGTCAGTGGGACTGGAAAGATTTTCAGGTCTCGTACAAACTGGAAGGAAAGAAAGAAAAGAAAAATTGGAAAGAGTCCCATTAATTGTCAGGTCATTGAAAGAAGATGACAAAGAGGCAAAGTCCTAACCATGGAAAAAAAGTGTCAAAATTCAATTGATCAAGTAGTGTATCATCTGCACACAGACTCTTACCACTCTAAAATCTTTAGCCTTTCTGATAAAGACAAAAGTGCGACTAGAATCTTTTGAACTGAATATTCCAGTGCCAATATACCAAGTCTACTGATAGTTGAACGCAATGGAACTCCAGAACACCAGCTCAGAATTCAGCACTTCTAATGGTTAATGATCACTCGAGAACCCTGCAGCTGTACAGATCAGAGGAGTGCAGAATGAGCTTTGCAAGAACGGTGTGCACAACTCTGTTTCAAAAACATCACTTCTTTTTCTTCTTCTCCAGTTTCCGGATGAAGCTCTGGATGTCCTCAGCCATCAGCTGGGGCTCCTCCATTGCAGCAAAGTGGCCTCCCCTGGGCATTGGGGTGTAAGACTTGAGCTTCCGGTACTTTTGCTTCACCCATAGCTTTGGAGTGTGCATCAGCTCATTGGGGAAGGAAGCAAAGGCCGTAGGGACGTAAACTGGGATCCTAGCAAGGTGGTGGGGAGGAAGGTGATGATATTATTTCAAGGACTCTCAGGGAAAAAAAACTGAGTAAAGCATTTCAGCAGGTTACACCATCATACACATTTCCAACTGGCATCTAAAATATCTTGATCTGCAACACTGAATATTTTGCATCTAATGAACTACTGTAAAAATAACACGTGAATAGTTGTTATTTACGGTTGGGATATGTCTCACATTAATTATCTGACCCCATTTCCAAACAGTTGCGATAGTATGGAAAATTCAAGTAAAAAAAAAAAATCCACAACCTGAAATCATCTATAATCTGCATTAATGTGAGAACCATACAAGACAAAATACTTCTGTTATGATCCTGCTCTGTCTGTCTTGATTCTGCCATGTTCATTATTGTTCCTGCCATGCTTGTTATGTTTTCCCTAGTCCCTGTTATGTTTATGATTATGTCTGTTAGGTTTTGCCATGTTCTGTTTAGTTTTTTGCATTTTGCCATGTTTTCGTTTTTTGCCACTCCCAATCCACTATTCTGTTAGTTTCGGTCCATGTCTTTGTTCATGCCCTTCATTGCACTTTGTCTCCCTGTCTGGTGTTTTGTTAAGCTACAGCTTCTCCCCAGTCCTGCGTGTCACATGCTTAGGTGATTTCATGGTTTCTGGGTTTCAAACATTCCTTCCAATCTCGTTTGCTTCCTTCGCCTCTCTTTTCTGTTTTACTAACCAATACTAACAGTTTGTTATTTTTGTTAAAGTTACTAACCCAGACTAACATTGTATATAATACTAACTTACTAACGAGCACTAGGGATTGTATAGCTGCACTTACTAATTGATTAACAAGCTCTCAGCACTCGCCCTGTTCTAGTCTCCGCCTCTTGCCTTCACTTTGTCTCTCCTGCAATTCAGCGGATCCTCCGCACCTGCTCCACTCTGTCCTACCTCTCATTATCTGTGCACATTAGAACTCCCTAACCGGAGCTGTATGTTTTGTCATAGGTTGTCTCGTGTTCCCTGTCCGCGTTTTGGCTTTTGCCAATTTCATGTGATTAGGTTCTCCCTCATGTTCCCTCCTTTGTAATTAGTCTGATCCTCATCACCTGATCCTAATCATAGCATGTGACTTCCCTTGAGTGTATTTAAGCTGTCTTCTCACTGCAGTTCCCCGTCAGAACGTTTCCTCTTGCTTACCTGTGCTGCTATCTTTCGCCTTGTATTCATAGTGTTAATCTTCTGACTGGACCGCCCGACTTACGATTTTTGGCTCTGCTCTTTTGTACTTTTGTCTGCATCTGTTACCGAACCTGTTTTTGCCCGACCACGATTACTGTGATTGCCGCCCTGGTTTTTCGACTTTTGGATTTTGTCCCTGGGATTGTGTTCTTTGGATTGTGGACT